TAATGAGGAAAGATACAAAGAGAAATAAAAGATGCTTCCTGCTTCTGGGAGTGCGGATGCCCATACATGGCAAAGTAGCAAAAGGTGTATGTGGAAAGAGCCACAGGAGCAGAGGCAAGGAAGCTTTGTGTGGAGCAAGAGCAGGCCACTCTTGGAAGGGTGTAAAGGGTAGTCTAAGCATGAAAGAAAAGGACTTGTTTTGGACCCATCAGGAGTTCCCTTAGACAGGGAGGATGAAGTGGTATATACAAAAAGGGATGGAGGGAGCTCAGGCTGGCAAGGATCCATCAGGGCAAGAGCTCCCAAAGGCTATTTTTTTAAAGTTATTAATCAGCAAATTATTAAAGTTATTAAAAACAAAGTTAAGTTTGGATAATGATTACTTTCTGAACAAAGGATCTTTACGCTTTACAAGTAACCCAGTAAATAGGTTAGATTTTGCATTATGAATAGTAGGGACAAAGAAACTGCAGATACAACAGTACAGGAGGGCACAAAGGATTCTGATACTTGGATAATCAACTGCATTAAAAACTTACTGACATATCTGCTATTGAAAACACCCTTTAAATCTATTTATAATTGATTAAAAATGGTGAATTAATGGACTTGAAAAAAAGTTATATAAAGAGTTATTGACTGCTCTCCCTCCCAACATGTATAATTGCATTTAATCCTCACAACCACTTTGTGGAATAGGTACATGTATTATCCCCATTTTACAGATGAGGAAATTAAGACTTAGAGAACTTGCTGAGAAGGGCTGAGTGGGAATGCTGAACTGGAATTCAGACCCCTGGCTGGTGCTGTCCTGAGGGTTAATAGATCAGGCAGCATAATGAACTACTTAAGAGTAGCAGCCAGCAGAGGTCAGGACTTACGAGTTAGCATTAGTTACAATGATCACACCAGGTCCTGCTTTTCTTTCTGTGTCATCAACGCATTCAGGTTCGGTGCACCACCTCTCTAAAATTCTTCCCTTGGAGCTGCGCCTAGTGGTGTACTTGAATTTGTCTATTCAGTTTCCTCTTCTGGCCAATGATGGTTAACTATTAAGAAAAAAGAAGCAGGTAAGTGCTACAAATACACAGAAGTATGTTTCTAACAAAATCAAGGAAAAAATCATTATGTAGATGGACATAATCATTCCATCATGCTAATCATGAACTGTGTGAATAGAAACCATTTAGATCACACGACATCAGTAGAAATGTTTATCAGATGGCTTTTGGGGTACTTTATGGGGAAAGGCTTTCTGTAGCTCCCGGCAATATAAACCGTGGTTCCTTGAAAAACTGTGTCAAAATGAGTCAGCTGGACTTATTCATGCCATGTGAAATTTTCCTAGACCTAGGGCTCAGACCTGATAGTTCAGATCCTTTGAGAGAAGCAGAGTCAAGTAATGGTCACAATGGAATGTATTACACCGAGGTTCCTGTATCTCATATTCCAGGTTTCCTGGCCCCACAGGTGATTTTTGGCTGCTTTGTTGGCGATTCTGATGGGCTTGCTACTCCACTACTTCTCATTTTCCTTGTAAGTGGAGAAGGGGACTGTGCCATTTGTGGCCACATAAACAGCAATGCCAAGACATGGCTCTTTATGTGACTTTATTAATTCTGAAAATCCGCATCTTGCTAATTGTGGTTGACAAGCATCTCTCTGAAACCTAAGCTTAGAAATTCTCCACTCTTAAATCTACACTTTTATCAGTCTCTTACTCCCCCGCCAAAAAAGGAAAATACCAACAGATCTTTTGAGAAAGTGGCCTAGATATTAATCTGATTTTTTCAGTATGCTTCAGTCCACTAACTATTGTTTAGTTTCTCTGATGTCAAAATCAGTTACGTTAAAAGCCTTAAGTAGATAATTTATAGAGTAGAATGTTCACTAAACTGATTCTAGTAATTCACAATGTTTTAACTTCATTTTGTTATGATGAGACTATAAATTTGACCTTCAAAATGAGTTGTTTTAAAATGAATCTTCTTTTACTTCATAAGCGGTAGTGAGCCTGCAAACGTGTACCTGGAGAGAGACCCAGTGAAATCTTGGTTCTTAGTTCTGGGACAATGTATGAGAAAAGAATAATGTAGCGCTGCTTGGCTATTAGGATTAGTAATCTATCTTGGGTCCCCATAGAGCTGGTGTGGTGTTTTCATTTCTGTGTCATTTGCTGCAAAAATGAGGTAGCGCTAATATCTTACTGCAAATATTAAGGTAACTCAGAATTAGGGCTTTGCAAAAAATCACAAGTTTCTGACTTGGAAACGCAATGTGCATTTCTGTAGCTCAGATTTCCACCAGGGCAAATTCAATGACAATGACCACAACTGGGTGTCAGACCTTGTTCTCAGGAAAGGTTCTGTCGAACTCATTCATACTGGAATGCAGGATGTAAATGACTGAGGACGCTCAATGTAGTAGGTTGTTTTTTTTTTTGGATTGCAAAGTATTTAATAATTTTTTTTACAGCATGCATAATTTCAGACTGGTGGTTAATTAGGAATTACTTCAATACTTGCAAACCCATTTGCCTCAGGATTTAGTCATAATGCACGAATCTAAGTCAATAAAATTAAAGAACAGCAACAGCTCATCTAATCCTTTACATTCCTTCGTGATCAGCAAGATGCATAAAATAATGCCTTAAAGGGTTAAAATAGATCGATGTGTAAAACGTGAATTTCTTTCTAAAGCAACATTTCTAAGGATATATTTAAACCAAAGGTCCAACTTATAGAAGCAAAATTCTTAATTGAGGCTGCCTCTATTTTTAGCCATTTGCCACTAAGCTCCTTTAAAAATGTTATATTCCCCAACAAAGAGTGTTTTTTGCTTTTTCGTTTTTTTTACCACGTTTGGAGATGGTGGAATACTTGGAGATGTCACGTGTATACAGCTGGCATTTTGCCTAAGATCAACTTGTTTTAAGATAATCTTTTGTTACATTTTTATTTACTAGGGAGTACTTGTAGCATTCAAGATTAAGTCTGGGTTATTTGTTTGATCAATAACTGAGATGTATTTGAGAGCTGAAATTCTGGATAAATTTTCACCAGCATTATTTCTTTTAGCAAATTGAAAAATTGGGGCTTAATTCCAAATAATAAACACATTAGTAAATAGTAAGCCTCGTAAAAGAAAAACCATATTTTGTTCCTGTTCAAAAGACTAAAACCTTTGTTTGAAAGAATGGTAGCATGAACTTTCACTCAACTACTCCTCGTTTAATGTGGAAAAAGAGACAAAATATGCTGAGGGAATAGAACTGCATAGTTAAACGCGACAGTTCCGACATACGTGGAGACATCTCGGTTTTGACAATGACTTCTCCAAGCCACCCAGGCTTTAATGCCGTGTGGATCACTGACAACCCTCTTTGCACAGGTAACGGCTTGAGTGATGTCATCTTTCAGCAAAGCGCTGCAGGGTATGTGACCGGCGTTAACTGATCTTGGGGTTTTGCCATCCTCACACCAGTAGCGGCTGTTGATCTGAAGTTGATCTGAAATACCCCGTTATCAGTGCTTTAGCTTGGACGATTGTAGTTTGTAGCCCGTGTGTGATAGTTACTTTCCCATTTGATCAAACATATCCCTAGATCTGCCCATTAATATTCTTAGCCTCTGCTGCAGCATCAGGAGTTTAATCATACTTCAAAATACCATGTTTTCTTTGTTTGCTGACTTAACCTTGTAGAATTCTCCTGAGAAAAGGAGACACAATTTTGTTCTAATCTGGTTGAAAAGCCACAGCTGCATCTTACTTTATGACAAATTGACTTTCATCACTTTGCATCTGGGCATCTACTTCTTAATGGTCATTTCGTCGGTCCGGGTGCTGGGAGGGGGCAGGGCGCGGACTCCTAGCTCTGACCCGGGTAGGAGACCCTACTCGGCGCCGACGGCCTCTGTGGCTGTGCCTACAAGGCCTCTCTCCGGCCCAAACCTTGGGAAAAGGTTGTTTTTTTTTTTAAGTAGAAACATGTATGTTTTGTATTTATAGCTGAGAAAACAAGGGCTCTTGTACCTGAAGCAGAGCTATAAATGAAAAAGCCTATTTATTATTATAATGTATAGTTCTTTTAAAATAGAAACTCAAATTTACCTAGTAAGGCTAACCTAGTACTCTGGTTAAGAAGTACTTTGATTAAAACCACACTGAACTTCAATGGATGGCTATACATTTTCGACCTCAAAGGAAGAAAACCAAATAACCGAAAATGATAATTTGATGTCAAAAAAGTCTCAGGATCCGTCACAGATTCGGAGTTAATGCTGTGATGATGCAGCATTTTGGAGGCCCATTAACGGCAGACGCGGGCAGGTGCGGCGATACCTCGGCGAGGGAAGCAGGGACCAGCTCTGCCCACGCTCGCAGCGCCTCCCTACCCGCGCCCCCTCCTAGCAGCGCCCCGGGCCCGCCACCCCTTTTCACGACCCGGACCGCGAGCTGCGGTAGCCTCGCCCCGCCCGCTCCACAGCCCAGGTCGGGGTCCGCGAGGACAGCCGTGGCCCAGACAAAAGGAGCGCAGAGGCTCCGGGAGGCCCGACGTGGGAAGGCCGCACCGTCTCCGTCAGCGGCGCCTCTATCCCAGCCGCGCGTTTCCAGCTACCGCCACGAAGACTTATTGTTTTCTTTGCACCTTTTTTACTATCTCTTAGGTTACGCCGCCTGACCGCCCAGACTTTGTGCAGTGGGTTGCGGGGATCCGCGGCGGGAAAGGCCGGCAGGAACGGGTGAGGACTGGGAAGCACCGGGGGGAGGGCGGGGCCACCAGCGCCTGGTGGCGGCGATAACAACAAACGAGCACAGCTGCGGGCACTGCAAGGTGCGGCCGCGGGGGCGGGCGGGAAGGAGCGGGGCAGGGCGGACACGCCACAGCGCACGACCAACCCATAGCGCCAGGGACGATTCAAAAGCTCGGAGGGCCAATGGGAGCGCTGAAAGTCTGTGGGGGGCGGGGCAGGGCGGGCCCGGGAGGCGCGCGCCCGGGCCGCGGGGTCGCTGGGCGCGAGGGCGCGCGGAACCGCCGCCGGATGCTGCTGGGAGACCATCCCGGAGCCGTTCGCGTTCCCAGCGCAGCCGGCGCAGGTGAGCTCCCGCCCCGCCCGCCCGCTCGCTCGCACTGCGCGGCCGGCTTCCGAGGGGCCGGGGTCCCTGGCAGTACCTCTGCCACCTCGTGCCGTGTCCCCCGGCTGTCGCAGCCAGGCTGCTGCGCATCGGGGCTGCGGCTGAGTCGCGGTGCCCTCCGCGCGTGCCTGCCGGGTGGAGTCCCGTGGGCGGGGATCTGCGGCCGGGACCTGCGGCTTGGGCCCGCCGCCGCTGACAGTTAGGACTGGTGCGCCGGCAGCCGAAGTGGGAGGCAGGCGGGAAGCCCGAGACGGCGCCGCGGTGGTGCCTGCGGTCCGGGCCGGCAGGATCGGCGGTCTCGGGCGTCCCAGCGGCTCAGGGGTCTCGGGGCCATTCCCCGCTGGCCGCCGGCGTTCCCGCGCTCTCGAAGCGGGTGGTGAGACCAGCGGGCGCGCTCCTGCGGAAGGCAAGTCCTGCTTTCTCACCTCACAGTGACACCTTCCAGCCGGATGAAGGGGCCCTGGGAGAGCCCTGGCTGCAGGCGCCCCCACGGCCGCTGCCCGACCCTGGGTGTCGCCCCCGCGGAGACCGCCTGTGCGGAGGTCCCCTTAGGCTGAGGCGGCCGCGCTCGGGCGTCTTAAAGGCGAGTAGGGGCAGAAGTGCGCGGCCCGGAGCCCCGCGTGCCGGCAAGACCGGGTCCGAGGCAGGCGGGTGGCCAGCGTGGAGGGCTTTCTGGAAGGCACCGGGGTAGGAGGGCTTGGTGTCCCCTTGAGGTACCCACCGGCCGCCCCGCTACTGCAACGGGAGCGCGGGGACCGCGGGCCGGGGTGCCCACTAGACCGGCTCACACTTCGTCGGAGCTTCCCCTTCTTCACGGAAACGTGAAGGGAAGGTGACCAGAGACCTCGGTCGCGCTGTGATCAGGGCGAAGCAGCTTTCAGCTGTGTTGATCAGTAGTAACGTAGAACGCTGGAGCTACCTTGAGAGGGTTCCAAGGCTCGTGGAAGCCGAAGGTGACAAGCCTGTGGCTTGATGGAGAAAAGCCGGAGGGGCCCCAGCTCTCCACTGCTTCTGGGGAATGAGGAATGTGTTCTGCAGAGAAATTTGTTCTTTACACACTTGGCTAAAACATCCCTTCTAAGGAAGGCCTGTCCATGTGTCTGCTGACCTCATAGGTTTGTGCATATGTGTGCGGCGTCGGCTCCAACCCTGGCTGGTGCACTCCTGCAGAAGGCGTGTTAGGATGTGACTGCAGAATGTGGTCAGGTGCCACAGTTGTGCGGTCATCTTGTGCAAAGTGAGGGTGCATAGGATGTTGATGGCTTCATGTTTTGGAGCATCTGTATATAAGACAGTGGCCCTCCAAGGAGTGTGCTGTTCATTTTTTTCCTTTTACAGCCTTCATGAAAAATACCTATCAAGTCACAGTTCTTAATTTTTTAAAATTAAGCTTAGAAACCTAACATATCCACCAGGTATTTTAATTTGTTTAACCCAAAATAGTTAATTGGTAACAAAAAGATGCCAGTAAATTTTCAAAAATGTACAGAATCTACTCAAGGCCTTTTAAAAACTTCAGATAGCTCCCAAGTCCTGAGGGAGTGTTCCAAAAGTTTATAAAGAATTGTTGAGACTTGAACAGCCTTTTCATGTGGGAAGATATAATTCCCTTCTTTCAGACCTGGTTGACCAGTATTGAAGAACTGGTATCGAAACAGGTTTGATTTTAGGGGGCCCAGGGAGAAGGAGGGGCACAAGAGAAGAGAGAAGAAGGGCACATTTCCTTCCTCTTTCTTAGTATTGGGAGGCTCAGAGCTAAATGTTGAAATAGATAAAGCTTGCTGCTGCCACCTTCCTTCTCTGGTCCCCTCCATGTCCCTAGGTGTTCACTGCCCCTGCTTTCCAAGCCCCTCAGGTGACCTCTCAGCCAGGTGTGACTTCATCCCCAGAGCTTCTGGACTCCTCTTCCCCCTACTCCCCCCTCCCGAGATGCTATCAGGTAGGTGATGGGAAGAAAGCTGTCTCTACCCTAATGTGTGAGTGGATGGACATCCTTTAATCGCTAGATAAGTAGCTGTGTTTTCTTTCATCTGCCAACCTAACTACTATCTTTCTACACCAGCGAAGTTTGTTAACTTTTTTTCAGGAGATTAACAGTGAAGAAGCATGGTGCTTATGAGATTTTTTCAGGAGGGATGGGGTAAATCTAACTTTCTCCTTTCTGAACTCCATAGAATCTTCCAAAGTATTTAAACGTTATTATTGGTGTATAATCAGCTCCTGATAGGAGCCAGGTGAGGAATATATATTTGTAGGTCCATATAATATATCAGGAATTGCTTAGTTGGTAAGATGAAGATGATGTAGGGAGAATTTTTCTGTCATACTGTCTGCTTCTTAGACTAGACCTAGTTAGCCAGCTAGTCTTGGAGAAGGTCAGAAGCTCTGGTTTTGTTGTGTGGAAATGTGAATCTGCTGGGCAGGGGAGGGGGAAGCATTGCTGTTTTAAGAGCTGGGAGCGCCCAGCATTCAGTTGATGTTTGGAGAAGGGTGGCCCCATGTGATTTGCAATCCCTACAGCTTGCTTGTGGCTTCTTAGGAGTGTTGTTTATACAGGTCTTTCTGGGCCACATTTTGGTTCAGTGGAAAAGAATGTTATAACTGGGGGCTGACTTCTGATTTAGGCTTGAGAGAGATGAGGTAGGGTGAAGGCCAGGTACGTGCTCGCCCAGGTATGTCTTTGGCAGAGCTCTTGGTGTGCAATTGGGACTTTGGCTCTAAGACTGGAAAGCTTTATGAAAGAACCCCAAATCAGCTATTCTCTATAAATTTGGAATTGCTTTTCTCCCCTTTGTTGGGTTATTACACATGTAATTGTAATGTTAATTACACATCTTTCATTTTCCCAGTCTGTTTCATAGTTTGTTTTAATAAAGTTTATTTTAAATATTTAAAAAATATTTGTAAAAAATTAAACACATTTTTAAAGCCTTTGTAAGATCATATCCATGTGTAAATAAAAAAATGCATCCTTTGAGAGACTGTGCCTTGCTGACCAGCAAGAAATATGGTTGCTGTAGGTGGGTGGCTCTTTACACAGTTTTCTTTATTATTGTGTTTTTCCTCCTTCAACAATAGTGTTTTACAGCAATAATAGTATAACCCCTTTCCAGTTTCTGGACCTGATTTCAGTGCCTGCGTGGGGTGGGGTGGGGTGGGGTGGGGTGGTGGTTGGGGTCTTCTCACACATACCACTGCAACTCTCAAACACCAGCAGGGTGTCTGAGAACTCAGTGTTGACACTATCTGCCTGGGGGCAGCACCAGATTCTCCAGGTTAAGGGCTCTGTCTCTTTCAAGCCTACAAGCAGTTACCTGTGCCTCTGAACTACCGGCTACAGACTGGAGGTTCCCACAACCTCCCTGTTAGGTTGGATTGCTGGAGCAGCTCACGGTTCAGGAAGAGACTTAAATTTACCAGTTTAATAAAGAATACAAGTTAACAGCCAAATAAAGAGATATAGAGGGCAAGATCCCAAATAAAGGAGCTTCTATCCTCATGGGGCTTGGGGCCAGTCTCGGTGGCAAAGGGACACATTCTGGCATATAAAAGCTCTCCCAACAGAAGCAGTATCCCACCGAGGGATGCTCTTCTCACAGGGTTTTGTGAGGGCTTCATTGCATAGTCATGATTGACTGAATCATTGGCCACTGGCTGATTCAACTTCTATCCCCTGCCCTTGGGTGGGGGCCAAAGTCTCATTAACATGACAAGACACCCATTCCACCTTTAAGGCTCTGCAGTGTTTTCGGAAGTGTGGATGAAGACCACGTATACCTGGGAAATAAGAATGACCAAATATGTATTTCTTATTACTCATTATACGGCAGCTGTCATAATCAGTGTCAAATTGTATGGCAGTGGCTCAGTCATCACATATGAAGTGATTTCGGATGAGAAATGATATAGCAGAAGGAACAACCTCTGTATTGTCCTGCCATTTCGTGCAATCCATTTTTATGCCCATGGACAAAACAGTTAACATCTTTAAGCTTTAGTTTCTCATCTTTTTTAAAATAAAGGGTTGGCACCCTCTCCCCTGGAGGTCTTTCTATCCCTAAAATACTGACCAGTTAATTTTGGATAGGAGTATTTTATTGTTTGATCTGTGAGAAAGGACAAATTTAAATACACATACATTGACTTCATTTTTTTTTCTTTGAAACGATTCAGACTAATTTTCAAAAATGCCAAGTAGGAAATTTGCTGATGGTGAAGTGGTAAGGGGTCGATGGCCTGGGAGCTCACTTTATTATGAAGTGGAAATTCTGAGCCATGACAGTGGCTCCCAGCTTTACACCGTAAGATACAAAGATGGAACCGAACTTGAACTGAAAGAGAATGATGTCAAGGTAAGCTCTCTTTCAGTTTACCAGTCTGTACAGTAGCGGGAAGTAACCATACATGTGGGTTTTAAGTGAAGAGTAGCCAGTTCGAGCTGTGTGGCACAGGGTCAGGCCTCTGCTTTGGGTCAGCACTGTTTTGGCTCCAGGAGTCTGAATGAGGCCCAGCACCCTGGTCCCGAGAGCTGAGTCTACTGAGGAAGACAGATACTCACATGGGGCATCTGCCCCGCTTCCATATCGGGTGGGGGAGCCCAGTGAGCTCTGCGAAGGGCTGGTCTTCAGGGAAGCTTTCAGAGGTGGTGACACCTGAGCTGAGTGCTGAGCCTGGACAGGAAGAACTCAGGTGACAGGAAGAACTCTGCAGAGGGCAGCCTGCCAAAGCCAGCCAAATGCTGGGTAGGGTGTGGTGGGCGAGGGCCAAGGGAGAGCTAAAAAAGCTGAACTGGATGGGTTTGGGCTTCCTGACACCAAGGATTTCAACAGAATGACAGTAATTAGATTTGAGTCTGGCCCAGGGCTCCTCAGCCTATCTGGTCAGGGCCTTTGGCTTTAAAATATCTGAGCCATGGTATATAGGTACATATGCAAAATATCTTAAAAATGAATTACTAGACAAAAAAAAGACAAGATTCAACAGACATAAAATTACTTTGTCAAAATGCTATAAAAATTTCTCCACCCTGTTCTCAGTTTCATCCCTTGTCGCACACCATAACAGCTCTTGAGCCATAGCCTGTGGACCAGTTTGGGTGCTCTGTAACAGAGTTGTTGACTAGACGGACAGATAGTATTTTAGGCTTTATAGGCAGTTTCTGCACTGGGAGAGTAGCTCTAGGCTATCTGGTAGGGAATGAACAAGGCTGTTCCAGTAAAACTTTATTTATGGGTACTGAAATCTGAATTTCAGATAATTGTCACCTGTCACAAAGTTTAATTCATCTTTTTCATTTTGTTTGTAGTTATTTAAAAGAAATTAAGCCATTCTTAGCTCCCAGCCAGGTGGGAGGTATTTGGCCTGGAGGCATTTTTCCTATAGCTGGTCAAAAAATGCCAGGAGGAGTGGTTTAGAGAGGTGGCTGGCAGGGTAAGACTGCCAAGTCTTCCCACTTATTTGCATGATGTGCCTGTGTGTTGTTCAGAGTGACACTGTGGGACTCATTTTCTTGCCATTGTGTGCTGATTTCTTCTGTCCCATCCTCAGTTTTACTCAATGGTAACTCTTAATGTACGCGTGATTGGAAAAAGTACAGCTAATTGGTTTGGACACATTGTTTCATGGTAATACCTTCAAGGAAGGATTAGGAGTGGAAAGGCTGCATTTGCCGGTGAGGGATCAGCCATCATTGCAGCATCCGTCCTAGGCCTCCTCTGAGCCATTTTCGGATCCACTAATTGCCAGGAGGCTTCAGAGTCCATGGGGAGTTGCTGCCTCTACTGGCAGGGGTCTGCCTGCATCATTAGGACTTGTGGTAAAGCTCTCCTGCCTTCTCCCCCTCCCCTCTCTAGCCTTTAACTTCCTTTAGGCAAAGGAAAAGTGGCTCCCTGTCCAGTTCGTCCTCCAGACGCCGGGGGAGTAGGTCAAGGTCGCGCTCCAGGTCCCCTGGCCGGCAGCCTAAAAGTTCCCGCAGATCTGCCTCAGCTTCGCACCAAGCCGACATTAAGGAGGCCAGGAAGGACTTGTTGGAAGTTAAACTGACTCCACTGGTGTTGGTACGTGCACATGCCTTGGAGAGATCTTTATCCTTATACAGATCCAAATGTTTGGTCCAAAATGCAGTCTTCCCTTTATGTATATATTTACTGAAATTATTTTTAGTAAATAATACTAAAGTATCAGTGAAACATTAGATCTAAGGTGATCACTTTGAAAGATTACATAAAAAAGGGATGTTTGGAAGAGTAGAAAGCCTACTGCTTTTAAATACCAATGAAGAACAATGTTCTTAAGTTTCAAGAGTGTTGTTTAATATTGTGATTTAAAAAAGAGCAGTGTTTACAATTGAAATAAACACATTGTAGGTTGGACTAAAAATTTTTAGTCTTCATAGTGTACAAAAGTTCATGTATAAAATAATTACAAGACAGGCAAAAACACATTCTTGCTCTCAGCATCTTTATACTTGATCACTTACCCTATTCAAAGATGGTAGTTTTAATGGACTTACTTTCAAAGTCCAAGCTTGGAAATACCAGGATATGTGGAACCTATAGGACCTCGAATAATGAATATTTTATATAGTGGGCCACATAGAAATCATTTTAAGTACAAAGAATTGAATAAATTTCATCTCTTATTCTCTCCATTTAATATTACCTCTTTTCTGGATAAAATACACACAGATTTTTAATAACCTTAAAAATGGGATTATGTACATACTGTTGTAATCAGATTTTTAAATTTTTAAATATTGGGAAAAGTCTTTTCCATTGTATTTTTCTGTATCATTTTTGTTGTATGGTATTGTTTGGCTATAACAAAAGTTATAGAGATGTAATTGTTAAAATAAGCTCCTGTATAGATAGACATTTAGCTTTTTTCTTCCTAAAATATCACTACTATAAATAGATATTCTTATACAGCATTACAGATTTGAGGTTTTTAATATGTTTTGCCACATTTCTTCAAGGAGGTTTATACCAGTACTGATAGTGTATGAATGCCCATTTTCTCACTGAGTGTTCTATTCTGATATGATCATCACAGGTTTTCAACGCACCATTTTCTCATGCACTCTGATAATTACTAGTGAGTTTGAACATTCTGCCTGCCTGTTCGTGGCTCTGGTTCTCTGTGACTCAGGTTAAGGACCAGATGCTGCATGCTGCTTCTGGCACATTTTCATTTTTAGCATTTAATGACCATTTTGTTTTTTTGGTGTAACCTCTTTACAGTCTGGTGACCCAAGAGCCAGAGGCTGGCTTTGCTCCTCAACAGTATAGCCCTGGGCCCACTGTGCACCTTCCAGGAAACTGAGGGTGGTGTGTGCATGGGAAGAGCATACCCAGGCTGCACATGGCTTTGAACATCATGTTATTCTTGTCCTTGTTTATTCCTAATTGTGACCTTCTGCATTAATTGCTTTCCTGTGTAAATAGTCTGTTAATTTGCTGTTAGTTCCGTGCAGGGTCGGCTGACTAGCTGTGTTACAGGGTTAATTTGTGGCTACTGTAGATTGTCTATCAGACATCTGAAACCTGAGGGTGTAGTGTTTAGGTAGGCCCATTGCTTCTGAGCAGCTCATTGGCACTTTAGTCAGCCTAAGGTTTTGTGGGATGTAATTGTTGCTTTGATTTGAACTGGAGTTTGATACTAGGTCAGTGCTGTCCTGCATTATATTGTGAGTTGGCCTGCCAAAGAATAGCCTTGCATTTTAAATTTGCTTTCCTACTGTTGGCTTATTAGTGTTAATTTGTCAGTGACTTATAAGGGAGCAAAGTGATAGATTTCAGCCATGCATTGCCTAATGAATCCATTTACGCTGAAATATTTCCCCTGTCCAGTCTAATAAGAAATTCCCTCCTCTGTGTGAAGAGAATGAAACTGAGGTGAGGAAAGGGGCAGAAGGAGAGGAAACTTAAGGTTAAATAAAAACCAGGCAGCATGAAATTTAGAAAAGAGGCAATTTGTACATCACTAGCAATATTCCCTAGTAATAAGTACCCACTATTCACTATTTTCCCATTATTGGCTCTTTTGGGGTAGTAAATATCTTTTCCTTGTAGTGAACTAGTTGACCAATTTTTACTTCAGCTAATTCATAGCAAATATTTTTAGAATATTTGTCACTGAACAATGAAGTAGAAACATTCAGTTTTAATTATGTTTAAAGATGAAAGTTCTTATATAGAAATCTATACTGTAAAATCCAATCTTAAGATTGGGAAATTCTAGTCAATTTTATTCTTTTTCCTTTTTGACAAAGGTAGGCTGAAATTACTCAGAATTAAAGCTGTGAAAATCTTTGTTTTATAGCTTGATTTCACAATAGCAAATTTTTACCATCATGTTCTTTTTTAGTAAGGTAGGATTCTTGTGGCTAAATGCTTTTTATATTCTTCAATTTAGAAGCCATTTGGAAATAGCATCCACAGATACAATGGGGAGTCGGAGCACATAGAGAGGAATGACATACCTCACAAAAAAACACAGGTACAGAAGTCTTTATTTTCATCTCGGGTAATTTTTTTGTTAAAGTGGCTTTCTCTGGAGAATCACATTGAAAACCACAATCTTTCTTAGTATCTTTTTAAAAATTTTGTCCTTAAATTAAGACATAATTTAACATATTTATTTTTATTAGTATACAGCTATATTAATATGCTGAATTAGTTAATGTGGTTGCATTAGTGATCGTTTATTGATTACAGATATTTAATAATTTTTATTTTTTGATTAGGAAAAATTCCATGCATCACAAGAAAGTAGTTATATACCTACACAGTATAGCCTTCGTCCAAGAAGAGAAGAGATCAAATTAAAAGAAATAGATTCTAAGGAAGAAGAAATTGTTACAAAAGGACCTCCATCACGGAAGACCTTTGAAGTGACAGCCCCGAAGACAAAGGACTTAGAGTTTGGAGGGTTACCTGGTAGGCAGTGGAGCGGGGCTTAGGCATGAGGGCAGGGTGAGCAAGCTGTGGCTGGGATGAGGTGCAAAGCCTCTGAGGAATTCAACGTGAGGTGGGAGCAGCTCTGGGGACTGTCACGGTGTGGCTTTGGTGGACAGAGGAGCTGTCTATAGGAAGGATGGTGCAGGATTAGGGGGTGGAAATCTGCTGGTCATCAACCTGAGGTGCCAGGGATTGGCCTTGATGGTACCCGTGTGTGCAAAATGGGGTCGCGGATTCTGTCCTACCCACCAGATTATGCAGGTCAAAATCTGAAGCACGGCTCACATGCTTTGCAGTTTCTAAGTTAAGACTGTTGACTGGCTGGTGTGTTAAAGAAGGTGTCAGCATCACTAACAATCTACACATGTTGCATGAATACTGTGAGAAACTCAGGGATATGAAGTGTTTTGTAAGATTAGACTGGTAATTTTTAGATGTTCTTATCTTCAATTTGCTGGAATTTCAACATAGTTTCTCCCAAAGTGGCTGCTTTTGAAGTGTTCCAGAGCTTGGTTTCTTAGTGGAATTTAGCTGATCAGCATTGGGTGTCTGCTCCTTCACTACCTTAATACCCGTGGCTGCTTGTCCCATGGACGTGACAGCTGGAGATTAGGTGTTTGGGGTGGTGCATTAGAAATTAGTTTCAAATAGCTAGCCAGACTTAGGTTCTACCCTTAAAAAACTCAAAATGAATTTTGAAGGAAAGCTAAAGAAACTGGGCTGAAAAATGGAACCTTGAGTGTTCACTAATTGTTTTCAGGTGTGTTTCTCATCATGCTGGGCCTGCCCGCTGTCGTCTTCCTGTTGCTGTTGATGAGTAAACAGAGAGACCCCAGTCTTCTGAACTTTCCTCCTCCTTTGCCAGCATTGAGTGATTTATGGGAAGCCAGAGTGTTTGGGGCCTACCTCCTCTGGTTTTTCCTTCAGGTTCTGTTCTACCTACTGCCGGTTGGGAAGGTAAGTGTTGCTAGGCCGCAGGCCGCAGGCCACAGTGAGACTTTACTCCCCTCTCTTCCACATTTACATAAAGAAATTTACAGTAGTTTTATGTTAAAAGTTGTCCTTGGTTGTAACTACCAAAACTTACTCACTTTGTTAAGCCATTCCTCTTGTATCCCATACCACTTGCTTATTAAATGGAACTTCAGAAATCAGATTGAAGTTTCTTTGTAACTTTACAAACCAAATAGAAAAGAATGAGCTATTTTGCAAAATGGCCTGGCTAATGGTAGACGTTGCAGAAAAAAAACATTCCCCCTCAGTCTATGTCAATTCAGATGCAAAATTTTAAACTATCAGTTGGTAAGCTGCTGAGCTCAGTGGTGTGGGCTATTGTATCTTTACCTTTTTTCTTAATATGGTATTTTCTCATTTTCATCTTTTTTTTTCTTTTTAATTCTTTTTATTTTATTTATCTATTTATTTTATTTTGGTATCATTAATCTACAATTACATGAAGAACATTATGATTACTAGGCTCCCCCCTTCATCAAGTCCCCCCAACATACCCCTTCACAGTCACTGTCCGTCAGTGTAGTAAGATGCTGTAAAAACACTACTTGTCTTCTCTGTGTTGCACAGCCCTCCCCATGCCCCACCCGACACTATACATGCTAATCGTAATGCCCCCTTTCTTTTTCCCTGCCCTTGTCCCTCCCTTCCCATCCATTGTCCCCAGTCCCTTTTCCTTTGGTGACTATTAGTCCATTCTTGGGTTCTGTGATTCTACT